TCTTAAAATAGAGTCTTTGAAAATCTCAGCACTGAGTGTTAAAGGGAAAGGATTAATCCCATATCTTTCTTTCAATGAAGAATAACTAATGCATTATTTTTTGAATGAATCAGTGGTTAATGAGAAATATTTACAGACTGCACATAGCAAATAATATCTTTGTTTCTCCTGCTAATCTTCACTCAACAGATAATCAGCTTTTCAAGGACTGAGAATTTGGGACTATTAGAAGATAAGGATGAAGCTTTGACAGCTTACTCATTTCCTCATGCAAAAATATGTTAGGTCATTTTTTGCATTTGAAATATGATGCAGTTATATCATTGGCATTTGATAAATAGAGAGGTTTTTAAAAATTGCATCTGAAATACTTGACATTCAGCACAGTTTTAGAAAATGATAAAATCATAATTGTAAAAAAGACCTGCAGTATTGCCAATCAGATTCTTGCTGTTATGTGCACTCTGGCACATATATCTTACTGTCCCCCTGCAGAAGAAGGAATGAGCATAAAGAAAAGAGCAATTTTCCTGCCGTAAATTGGAAAGCCTGCCAACCAGCTAAGTGATCTACCATCAATCAGTGTTAAATTCTCCTTAGCTGCAAAAAACTAACTATTACTGAGAGATTTCACACAGTGACTAATGATATATGACAAACACTTTTAAAATCTGCATAGACCAGCATCAGTTTAAAATATAACACGAAGAAAAATAAACAATTCTAAAAGATATCCTGGTGTGCAAAATAAGATATAATCTCCTCAGACATGTATTGTACATAGCAGATTACCTATTCTAGAAGTACATTCAATATCAATACAGAACAAAATCAAGTATACAATATGGCTTTATTTGAAATAGCATCTTTCATATGATACATGCCACAATGTTGCATGTATTCCAGCAAGACTTTACAGCAAGATGGCTAGGTTATATTATAAAGTAAAGATGATGGTTGAATAAAACACTGAGCTGAATATACAATTACTTTACTCACACGAGGAGCCCCATTAAGTAATACTGAAATCTTGAGGTGAGGAAGGTCTTCTCCTTCACCATGTCATTACTGAAGCCACAACTAATGCATCTGTTCCAGATGGCAAGCATACAAATGAATGTGAGACAGTGTTGCTGCTTGCATACTAAACTGGCTATTTCTCAGTGCAAAGATTCCACTCATGGCTGTTTAGTTTTCCCTTAAAAACATATTCATGCATAATATGGAAAAACCATTATAAGAAAGGAATATATTAGCTATTAAAAGCTGTCTGCACTTCTAGCTGAAGAACAGTGCATAAAGCTGGAGACATTTGTCTTAGATTTGCATTTTCAAGCATACAGAACTTTTAATTTATTTCCATTTATTTTTCAGATTTATATATTTTTATTTGGAATATAAAGTCCATCATTTTGAAAATCCTCTTTCTAACCACAATGGGCTTTTTTTTCTTTTCTTTTTTCCATTGTCTCTGACAGAAGGGTGTTGCCACAGAAGTCAGAAGGAGAATAATTTTTTATTTTATTGGGAGTACAATCCGTTACTTTGGACTTTGTCAAGCTATCAAGAACTGTAACAATTTAGGGCAAAGGTATCTTCATTTTGGATAGACACATCTTCTGAAAGAAATATGTGAATCAAAGCACTGAGAGCAAGGAATGCTATAACGAGAATACAAGCGATTCTAATAATCACCAAAGAGATGAAAAACCCTGAATAAACATAACTGCACCAAACAGCTTCAGACTGAAGTACAGCTTCCCCATTCCCAGCAGAAATAAGAGAACCAAAAGGGAAGCATAACCAAGTAGTTTAAATGTGTTTAGGCACAATGTTTGTAAGTCATGGTGTGATCTTTCAAATATTTGTCTGACAGTTTGTCTCCTCATCCATCTTTCTGCTTTGTCAAATATAAGTATTCACAGCCAGCTTGCTTAAAGACTTGAAATGCTAAGTCTATCCACTTCTGAATTGTGACTTTCTGAATCATTCAGGGATCAGTTTATCTAATTTTGTCTCCTCTGAGCTCAGATATATCATATTTGATTGGGATAAAGTGCTAAATATGTTAAATGCAGAACCGTACAAACACAAGTTGAGATGTCTGTTCCAATGAAAACCACAGGTAATAGAATAAACAGAGCTATACCTTGAACTTGAGGTGTTGCTATATTAACAAAAGCGTAATGTTCCTTGACCTTAATACTGCAAGAGAAAACATTTTCTACATAGTTCTGAGAAAGCAGAGTCTAGGTCAGTCAGAACAAGAATACTTAAATAATCATCCCATTAACTGAATTATAGTAATGACTCAGCAATTTGACCTTACTATGTAGCATCAATCCCATTTACAGAATTGCTAATGAGAAATCAGAAATAGGGTAAAAAGGAATATGCATGTTATGCATGCTATTTTTGCCATTCTGACTAACTCTATGCATGTGTATACCAATTTGGATGGAGGAAATATACAAGGAAAAGGCAGTTTGGAAATGTTATTAGTAGAAAAGATTACAGGTCTGCTGAATGCTATCAAAGACCTGCCCATGTTATTCCAGCACCTTCAGTGATTGCTCTGAAAGCTATGGAACTTCTTTTAGGGAAAGTGGGGGCAAGTGTATAAAAAATATAGCCAAAATGTATGTATGATAACATACAAGCTCCATGAAAAAAACTATGAAGTTTATCAGATAAATTGTATTTCCAATTATTGACTTCTCACAAGGAAAAAAACCCTGCATTTTTAAAAAGTCAAAACTAAAGTGCAAGTGGGAGTATAGCAAGCCAGATAACTAGGGAGAGGGATATTTGCCATTTTTCCTTAGTGCTCTCCTCTACTGTTAGCAAAAGTCTCTGATGTATTATCATCGTGTTAGCTTCCATTGTTTTTAATAGTTTTTTTTATGAGTAAGGAATTTATGGCTGTATGCAAATATTCTGTGAATCTAGCAGTAAAAGAAAGTGCTATTTACACTGAAATTCATGTACTAACTAAAAAACACTAACAACAGCAATTAACAACAGTGGAGATTGTGCTGTTTCCATCTGTATTTTGCAATATACAGCAAATGATAGCCACTCAGCAATACATTAATTTGCTAATGTTCTTCAGTTAAAATATAGAAGTTGTTCTATTTATTTTAAAGCACTTTTATCAAAGTATTCCAATTCCCCAAATCTTGTCTGCTAAATAATTAGAAATTGTTAAGGATATGAGAATTCACTCCCAGCCCCAAGTAAAGTATTATTTCCCTAGGAGGAGATTCAAAAGGACTCAAGATTTCTGTTATTCCAGGTGGGATAGAAAGGAGCGATCTTCTGCATCAAGGCCATCAGGAGATTTGGATAGTCTTCTCATATGCTGTCCAGATGTATGAATGGTATCCACTGCCTGCACGGTGCTTTTTCTGTAAAACAGTGGGAGAGAAAGATACAGAGATAAGGAGAAAGAGGCAAGAAGGTTTTAAAGTTAGGGGGAGGAAGAGAGAGACAGAGTCAGTTTCACCTCCCATGCTCCTTTCTACTTAATCACAAGATAGAAGTGTGTGGAGGAAGGTTTTATGCGTCTTTTCTCTCCAGCTGAAATAAACATACTCATCAGCTGAACACACTGTTCAGAAATGGTGAAAATCTGCACTCTCAACTTTCTAGAAAATATTACACTGTATAGACATATTTTACTCATTTTTAAATCCTGAATTTTAAGGAAAATTTCTCTGGTTCTATAGAACAGACTTATCTATAAAGCTTTGAGAATCATGACAGGTCTCTCTTCAACAGTTTATGTATCTGCTTCTTTACCTCTACCTATAGAGCAGCATTGGTGGATAATAGTGTCTTCCCATCCTTCCCAAGTGACCTTGCAGATACCATTAACCTAAATGAGATTAGTCACTGGAGCTGTGCACACTTGTTTTTTAGCAGATGCAGCCATAGCAGCAGCACTTATCAATAAAAGAAGCTTGTTGAAGAGGAAGAGCCTGGATTTGGAAGTTTTGAAAATGATCATAAGGACATATGGCATCTGAATTTCTGAATATGCCAGATACAGCTTGGCATAAGGATGCATATCAAGAAACAGAAAAGCCTCTGTGAAGAATGCACATTTTCATGTTCATTTTTATAATATACTGCAAGAGTTTACACAAAAGAGTCTCATTCATGAAAGTGAAGTTTATTACTATCAATCACAGAAACAGCAAACAAAAATGCTGAGATTTTATGTACAGTGCTTCAGTCTGAGGTTTTTAACACTTCTGTAGGCAGCAGTAGTTATTTCACTGGCAAATGGTGTCTTTGGGAATATGTTGATCATCTGGCTAAGTTGTAACATTCATAAAATATCAGCAGCCCAGCTGAAAAACAGCCATAACAACACAGTGGGGCAGGTCTGCCTTTGTACATATTTAAATATTTATGCTGAGGTACTCATTGCTGCTATAGAGTATCTTCTCTGCGGAACCGGAAAATCATCCATGAATGAAGTTCCAAGGTTAATGTTTATGTATAATCAAACTGAAGGAGGTATTGTGGACACAACTGTAATCTGTGTAATTTGAATGAATTTGAGAAAATCTAAATACAAGCTTATATTCATGTCATGTTAAAATAAATTGCAAAGGACAACAGTTACCCAAATCTCTCATGCAGGCAGTGAAGACACACTTTCAAAAAGCAGTGGAACTGTCTGAGACTTGAATTATGCTTTGAAGATGTCTGTCTCGTTCCTCTGTGTACACGAAGAGTTTCTGTAAACTGTTACTTAAACAACTGCAGCAGTTATAGAAGGCTTGGATTAATCTAGAACTTTGTTCTTGAAGTAACGTCAAGAGCAAGATCTTCTCAGGATGTGAATTAATCTGGTAGCTAGCAGTCTAGGGTTTAAAGCATCACCTGCAAGTGAAAATTCTGGATCAAAGGCCTTTCTATAAAGAGAACAGTAGGCACAAGCAGCTGTGGTAACAGCATATATCAGAAGGCACTAATTGCTGGGCTGGAGGGTAATATGCACTCTTGTTCTCTTTTTCTATGGTTTACAGAGTATTTAATTATTCTGTGGAGCAAAATAGCTTCAACAGAGTGGAGAGTAGGATGAAAATCAGTCCTGTAAGTCCTTAATGGTAGGGTAAGTTCAAATGTAGTCATTCAGAGGGGCAAAAATGAAATTAGAACTGCTAGAAACAGGTTGGTTATCTGATAAGTTATGCAGAGTGTACTTCCTTTTCTGAAAACACCTAGAAGATTACTTCAAAGATGGAGAGATCATTTTTCTTTGTGTACCCAAATAAGTTCTGGGTTTAACTATGGAAAATCGTGTTAGAAATATCCTTTAAGATCCCTACAAGTTTGCAAACACACAAGAAAGAAGTGCTACACAGTGTCACCCTCCAAATAACTGAAGTCTAAAATAGATTCAGTCATCTCTGATGGCAGTGCTTGGGCTGCCAAATGTTTAGTAAGTACCAACGAGTTTCCAGTTTGTGCTGTAGAGCTGTGCATGTTAGTATTCAATACCACAGGTATCCAAGAGGAAGTTACATCTTCTGTTTGCTCAAGCAGGTAACGGCTGTTTGGGATTGTATCTACTGAACCCCGTAACAGCATATTCAGTCCTTTTTTAATTTGTGGATATTTCCACATAGGTATAACTAGGTGAAAGAAGAGCAGACATCTTTCAGCTGCCAGCATGGTAGCTAGCTACGTCCTCTCTACTCTTGGTCATTTCTCTCTGTTCTGAAAGGTGTCTGCTGGCATTGCTGTGGAGGTATCTACTTCCCCATTTATCTGACAGGTGGTTAGCTATTAACATAAACAAAAGTTGTGACCTGTCTGCCACTTTCAATAACTCAAGTGCTGTATTTCCAATCTGTCATGTCCTTGGCAGCCCTTTAGTATATTAGTAAATGCATTATTCATTAGGAAAATTTGATAGGAAAATGTGCATTAATTTTCATCATTTTAACTGTACTCCACTGTTATCCCTTTAATGACATTTTTATCTGCTGTACGTCTGTTTCAAGAACTAGATGGTGACTTGGCTGATACACTACTATGTGGGAACAAGAAGGAAGATGGCACTTTGTTGCTGTCTTGTGAAAGTTCTTCAAGATGTCTACAGATAAAAAAGCTTGTACAGATAACTGCTTTCACAACACTGAAGTGGGTGAGTGGAAAAAGCGGCAAAGAGGATACAGAAACCTGCACTTGCCATCCACTATAGCCAAATTAATCCTGCATATTTAAATCTGAAGTAAAAATAATACCTCTGGGAGCTCAGATAGGCACTGTGACTCACACATGGTTATCTTCACGGGACTGCTTGATCATTGTTCCTCATTCAGAATGGTGCCTTCTCCCTTCTTCCTCTCTCCACTGCAAAAATTGATTTATCTCTACTAATGAATGAGGGCTTCTAGTGTTTCACAAAACCAAACAAAACCTGTGTTCATACTGTAGTCATTGTATAGAATTTAGTTTTAGATTCAGTAAAGACAAAATAAAGGCACTGGTCCTTTCAGCAACAGCAGTTTTTATACCAGATGCTAACCCTTCATCCCTTCTGGAAGAAATAAAAGATCCTAAAGAAATATATTGAGCATAGATTGAGTTTCCAATTTGGTTAGCATTGGGGTAGCCATTCTGTCCTCATGTTAGCTTGGAAATTTCTTATGTAAATTGTATTGTAATGCTTATAACACCTGTTATTATGACAGGATTTATTCATGTCAATGAAAGGTAGGGTCACTATCAAGATATCATACTATAATGCTGAAAAAGGAAATTACCGTTATAAAATTTCATCAAATGGATGTGACAGAAATTAGGAATGAGAAGAAATGGATAAGAAGAAATTAGGTGGGAAGATAAACAAGGACATGTATGCATCAGACCAATTCTGATTTTTATGAGATCAGATGAGGCATAACAGATTGCAGTTAAAGTTATTGCAACCAAAGTTTCCTTCCCAACCAGCTATCTGTCTTCCACGCAGTTTGGATCACATCATTTTAACTGCAAAGTCCACCCTTTGGACTGATAAGTCTGGCTACTTGAGGATTTTGGAAGGTGAGTAATTTGTTTTAACCATCTCCCAGACAGTTTGTGAAATAGCATTTGCTACTGCTGAACTCTGGACTCTGTGCATTTTTCACTCCTGCGTTGTCCATTTGTTTGCTCCCATTCTGATAGCTAGCATGGTTTTGCAAGGAGAATGTCAGAGACTAATGGCAAAACTGCTTGTTAGTTACTATCAAAACGCCCATGTCTGAAGTCAATTAAGACACACAAAACTTGTGGGACATGAATCAAATTACCAGGCAAATATGCCAGATCTTAATCAAGGGGATAGGTGTTTGTTTTTTTTCTGTAGGCTTTTTGGTAGGCTGTGTCTTTAGATGAATTTCTAGTTGCTGTGCAAACTGTCACACTGAGAAAGATCATCTGTTGTGCTCCAGTCTTCTGCTCCACAGAATAGCAGCCTATTTTTCATGATTGCAGCTTTGTGTTAGCTGCACCGGTGAGATGCCTTCCTGGCACATTACTCAGGGAGATGCTCCTGGACAGGTGCTTAAGGAATTTTGTGGTTAAATTCAGAGTTAAAAGAAGAAAGAGAGACAGAAACCTTCTCCTACCAATTGTATAAAGAAACCAATGTCTCATTTGGCATTAGATGAATGGGAAAAAATAGAAAGTTAAAAGGATGTAGGATAGAAATGAGGTTCTCAAGTATTGTTCCTGCTCAGTTTAAGCATTGTATAAATGCATGTCAATTGTCAATTAACCGTGATTGTTTAAATACATAGATGGGCAGATGACTATTCTTTAATTTTTGCTTTTTTCTAGTTCCATTTCAGAAACTGATTTTCAGTGTATGAACATAATAGTAACTACATTGGCACAAGCCAAAGGTCTTTCTAAGGCAGCTGACACAAAGCAAGAACACAGCAATACCTTCCCACATATTCTTCAGCCTCAAATCATTTTAGCTCAAAAGTGGTCTGAGATGGCGATCAACTGCATTTCATAAATGTCCATAGATTTTTCTTCCACATTTTTTTCTCTATTGTCTTAAAACATCCATGCAAATAAGCTTTCCTCTCTGAATGTTGCCATTTCCCACCCAGTACTATTGACTGGGATAGTTTTCTGGCAAGGTAAAAGCAAGAGCACTGCTTCAACTTCACTTTTTTGATGGGAGCAGGGAACTTCTGCAGCTGTAAGCTGTTCTCTGGGGATGTGGAAGAAGCTTCAGAAAGCTGTTTCTCTATGGGGGAGCCAGTTGCATCTTTTCTGCAAATCAGACTACACTACATTTCAAGAAACAGCATTTAACAGAATGACAAAAGAAGAGAGAGAGTGGAAGGGCGACCATTTGCTATTAGACTGAAGATTAAGTTACCTGTACAGAGTAAAAAAAGAATTATTAAGCAACAGAAACATGTGAGGGAAATTGCTTCAAAAGTTACCAGATGACAACCACTGTAACTTACTTTTCAGCAGTCCTGCCAAGAACTGAACTGAATACAACATAGCGCAATATCATTTGTAGAAAAACACAAAACCAGAGAATTCCTGCCATAATTGTTCCATGATTCAGCAATTCAGCAGCTAACTGCTCCCAATCACACATAAACTCAAATAAATTTGAGAAGAGACTCACATACATGCCATATGTTAGGATGAATGTAAAACCCCAAGGATATCATTGGAAAGCTCATAATGCCTATGCAGAATTGAAGAAGGAAAAGAGTGAATACAAATTTGCAGTATCTGTTTTTAAGTGGAAGGGCACGGGGAGTAGGTTTTTTAAGTTCACAATTTACTTGCAGCAGGCAAATGCATAGCTCTTCTTTCCCAGGACTATAATAAAGTCAGTGGAGCAGTTGCCTAATCCATGGGCAGAGACAAAATAGCAAACTTTGAACACAAGACAGGTTACTACTTCAAATTTGCATAACCAAATACCTGGGGGTTCCCTCTGCTACAGTCGTTCGGGGGAACACTTTCTTCCTCACCACATACTACTTCTACAGCTGGTCATGATGTAACTTGTAGAACCTAAGGCCAAATTCAAATCTAAGTTATGCTTTGTGAAATTAGGATTCACCAATTTCAGTTCCTTTGAATAGCTCTTAATTTACAGTGACATAACAGATTAGAATCTGGCCCCTCTAGTTTTAATACCTGCTTAGATTTAGACAGTAGGAGACCTTTAGCTTAAGATAAGAGCTATTAATTTGCTCATCTTTATTCACACATAGAGGCTGATGTGTGTCTTTATGCATTTATGTACAAGATAACACAGCTAAAAAGTATTCAGAATGTGCATACAAATGCAGGAAGGGACAGCAGATGATTTTAAATTCCTTTTTAATAATTGCAATTAAGCATAAAACTGTATTATGATATACAATGTATTATTTCTCTGTTTTTCTCTTTCCTCAGTTTTTTACAAATGCTTAAGGGGATAATTGTTCTTCTGATGATGTATTAAATGTTACCAGCAGTTTCGGTTTGGACTATTTGTTCCCTCCAGAGTCTTCAACACCAGATTTTTTAAAAAGCAATATAAAATAATTATAAACTGCCCATGTAACTAAGTTCATTATAGCAAGATGCTCCTGTTTTAATCCACTGTTAGCCATCTTGCTTTTGGTATTTCAGGTTCTGAATTTTAATTACATTCTTTCCTGGGGAAGGGGCAGATTTTTCTCTCAGAGGACAGCATAGAATAAAAGATGAAGAATACACTCATCGTTAGCTACTGGTTTTGGAGGAAACCCTTTTAACTGCAAACTTCTGACGGAAATTCACACTTTCATATATTGGGTGCAAGTCCTTCTAAGAATACAGTTTGGGGCTTTTTATTGTTTTCTCATCCCTTTTTAAGTGGCCCTCAGACTCACAGTGAAGACGGACCAACAGCATGAAAATCACTGTTAATCCAAAGCTCTGTTCCTGGTTTTTTTTTGGGTGGTTCACTATTTTCATTATTTTTTTCATGACCCAAGATCTGGTTGCATCCTTAATTTCACTAACAAATACAACGGGAATATTCATTACTATGTTTGAAGTAATAACATTTTTAAAGCTCTGTTGGAAATGTAATAACTGTTCTTATTAATAACTAATTTCAGCTGTGAAATAAGTACAAGGAAGAATGTTCTTACTTAAAAATTGCTAACCATGCACCTCTCTCAGCAGGAATTTTAGCAAAGATACACACAATGAAGCTGAGAAAAGTAACAGGTGCTATATAACGAGAACACTCACATTGGCCTTCAGTTGACAAGGTAAGACACTGTACTTTTAGCTATTTAGGAGCAATTAACCTTTCATGAATACTGCAGCTGGTAAGACCCTATTCTTCACATGTTTCATACAATTCCTAGAAGCAGAGAAGACTGGACAATGACCAGTCTTTAACAGTCTGTGGTCTATAATTAAACCTCTTCAAGTATTATTCCTTACCCTTTGCCTAGGTTTACTTTTGCCAGAAATGGTGACATACATAGATGTGGGACAGGGTTTCCAACCATCACAAGAGGGCCTCATTTATGAGAAATAGCAAGAGGTCAGAAAAGGGAGTCAGCCTGCTCGGACCAGATCTCTGATTCATTTAAATGAATCCCTCATGCTATCATGACCTAATGCTACTTAGCATCTGCCAGAAAAAACAAAACAAAACAAACAAAACCAAAACCAACCAAAAAAAAACAAAAACAAAACCAACCAAACAAACAAAAAACCAACAAAACCAACCAAACAACCAAACAAAAAAACAGGAAATAAGCCAAACTGGAAAAGGAAATAAATGAAAAGACCAAAAGACTACACACAATTGCACACCACTATCATTATTTTTACCAGAACTTCACTTTTACACCATGCTCTTCACTTATCTAACTGCCACTCCTCAATTTACTGGGTTTTTGTGTTTTGAATTCCCCACATATAGGAAATCATGTGAGCTGGAAAACGACTAGACCATGAAGAAATAAAAAAAAAAGGTTTGGGCTTTCATTCAGAGAGCTGCAGCTAGGCAAATCACCAGCCAAAGACATGATCTAATTCTGACATTGTCATCCTGCCAGAAAAAAAGAGAAGCTAGAGGGCAAAATATGGAGCCAGAGATTACTGCTAAACTGATATTTTCTCAAACTAAAACAGATTATTATTTTTTTTTTAATCAAAAGAAAGATTATTGAAGTACTACTGACAGAAAATATAACTCTGAAATTAGGCAGAGATTCCGGAATTCCAAAATTCCAGGACTGCTTGACCCAAATTTCAAGAGGAAGTTTGAAACCATATTTGTGAAAATGTAGGCCATTAATTAAAACACAAAGTGATATTCTGATATGAGTAATATATCACTTGTTACATCTAGCAGACACTATCTTGTCAGCCTCTCCACTTTCAGTCATAGTTTGAGTATTTGCCAGCTATCAAAATATTATCTGTATCTCTGAAAATAAAGGTAAATGAGGGTATATTTATACTTCTAAAGACCCTAAGAGACAAGGAAAAAATCTTTCACTGACATTTATGGGCATCATTAAGCACAAGAATTTTACCATCAATACTGAACAGGCCATCACTGACTAGACAAAATCAGTCTGTCTTTCTACCTGTTGAAGAACATTGTCATAATGATCAGGGCACAAATGAATTCCTTTTATCTGTATGCTTGGAAAGTTGCCTGGGGGCAAGTTTTATGATAAATACAGCCTATATTGTTCCACGCACACAGAGCTATATTATATTATGTGACAGGCTGAATGACTATTAATACAGGTGCTGCACAGTATCTTGCATCCTTCAAAAGGAAAGCTCTTCTTAATAACGTATATCCATCCCATAGGCTTACTTTTAAGATGGAAAGAACAGTTAGATGGAAAAGATGAAAGAAAGCCATAAAAATAATATCATGCAAGCTTCTCATGGATATTCTATTCCTTGGCCTGTTGGTAACACAAGTTCTCAATCCATGAGACCAACTGGATGAAGTTTGAAACAGTAATTTATTTTGTTTTTTTTTTACTTCCCTCTTGGAATGTTTGGGTCCACTAAAGACTGGAATCTCAGGGTCAGATGTTAAATTGGATGTGGGAGAACAAATGTATCTAAATGTAAAATTTGAAGACAGGAATTTTTTGTTGAGCTATTACCTAATCCCGGAAATGCCTGACTTCTCCAGGAGCAACTCCTTCTAAACTTTCCTTTCTTTTGAATGCCTAGAAATGCTGTGATTTGATTCTACAACTAAATCCAATATATTGCTCCCATTAAAATAAGAAACCAGGATTTTTACTTTTTGACAAAGTCCCACAGAGGATTCAAAATTCAGAAGCACCTCAGAACTCACTCAAAGAAGCCAACAGAGACTATTTTCTTCCAAAATGTGGTCGTAAGTATGGCACGTCCATGTTTTATATTGATGAGAATACCACCAGTCTAGAGTTCCTAGGAAGCAACTTTTGTAAAAAACTGCACTGTGGAGAGTTTTATACCATCATGAGGCGGCATCCTGTTCTCCCAACATATTAACCAGAAAGCCAAAGTGTAGGTCTGTGGTTTTTCTTGCAGTCAGGGACTTAAATTCTTACCTAGTTCTAGCCTTCTCTTTTGCCCTTTTTTTATTTAAGAAAACTTAATCAGAAAGAATAGTCTCAAAGTTTACAGTAGAGATGAAACTGACATTTTGTGAAGGTATATCCTATTAATCTATCACATATATGAATATACCAAAAATGGAATAAATTACTTTCAGGAACTCTTCAGATTTGTAGATCTCTTATTGTAACTGCCTTATATATTCTCCCTTATGTTTTTTTTCTAATTGAAAAGCAGGGGAATGATGCCACCTGCATGGTGGAGGAATGTACCTCCATCAATAAACGCCAGTTTTAGAAAAAAGATC